TTATTATTATTATTATTATTATTATTATTATTATTATTATTATTGCTTCAGAAGATATCATATATATACTATTCTATATGCATCATATTACATTATAGGGACTATTTTCAAGGTCTTGAACATATATATAGGACTCCTATCGTAATTGATGTGTCCCGGTTTTTTTAGTCTGTTCTAAAAATAAATATCATGCTTATTTAAAAACAAATAAACTTTAAACTTTTTACTTTACCATTAATGAGATGATTTATAGCACACAAATATTTATGGCTTGTTTTAGACCATAAGTTCCAAAATTTTTTTTTTTTTTAACTTTGTGTCGAATACACAAAATATTCCCAACTTTTCTACAACCTGGTAACTCTCCCTATATACGGCCTATGGTTATTTCTTGGCATAATACATAAACAGGCATCAAACTTGGCCTCACCTTGCAAGTACATCTTCCAACTTTGAATGTGCATAAGTATACACCTCAACTTGTCTCTACTTTATCAATTAAACACTCCAACTTATAAAATGATCATCTAGACATCTCCAATATTTATGTGTCACCCCAGTATTATCCCTTATTTGTTCTAAGCTAAAATGATCTGAACTTTTTTACCTTTGTGCAGCTGAACTACTAGGATTTGATAGTTTCATTCCGCCATTTGTAACTGCAAGAGGCAAAGAAATACTCAAAGGCGTCAATTATGCATCAGGAGTTGCTGGAATTCGTGATGAGACTGGCTATCGATGGGTAAAAATTCCTTGTCACCAATAATAATTATGTTCTTCATATGTTTTCAATTAGTAAGCAAAAAAACAAAGCCTCGTATATAAAGCATCTCGCATTCACGCAGAGTTCGGGGAGGGGCCGCATCTCAACAGGGGAACTTGACAATGTTGGTAGCCTAAAACAAAATTTTGTTAGGACGCCTTAAGTTTTTATTTTTTTTTAAAAATTCACATATATTTTATTTGAAGTCTATTTTTCTAGTTCTTTGAGATGAAAAATTGTTAACAAAATTTCTATCAATTTCGTCTAATATTTTTTTTTCTTTTCAATTGACAATATAGCTAATCAATTACACGGCTAAAGGGTTTTTCTTTTCATTTTTATGAAAATCTTGTTTCTTCACCTTAAAATATTATAGTAAGTAAAATTTGAAGAAAAATAATCATAGAACTTCTCACCTATAACCCCAGGGTCATGGGTTCGAGTCACTAAATGAGCAATAACTCTAATAAAGGGGGATCAAAGGGGAATTAAAGGGGAAGAGAATAAAAAATAACTATTATTAATTAAAAAATAAGAAAAGGCCCCCAAAAAACTGGAGGCCTAATGACATTGCCTTAGTGGCTTTGGCCTTCAACCGGCAATGACCTCCAAAGGGTGTGATGTAGACAATCTACCTGATGCAAGCATTAATGGTTGTTTCCACGGCTTGAACCAGTGACCTATATGTCACGCGCAAACAACTTTACCGTAACTCAGTTAGTAGTGGACAACCATGATTATATTGTACTCATTGTCCCAACCAGTTTAAAAAAATTAAAGAAGACGGTTGACACATAAGTCAAGTGTATAAAAAAAATTATTCTATTAAATGAGCGGCGGTGACAGTTTCACATATCTTTTCATATTTTCTTTCTTTTAAAAGAATAAACTTACATATCAAATAATTCCTAACAAGTCATGTCACTAACGATAAAATGCTAAGATTAAATAGTTTTCAAAAATAAAAAGGTGCCATTTGTTTCAATACATATGCTGATAAGTATTTGGCATGTATTATTTAGTGGATGAAGATTTTCACCTAGGTGGATTTAAAAACAATGCTTAAAGATCACGTAAACTATATAGCTCCAAAATAATTCTTGATAGGTGTAAGCAATATAGCTGCTAGTATTCTAATTTTAATTTGAATATCATATTATTACTATCCGAGGAGAATTTTGAAGTGACGGTAAAGTTGTCTCCGTATGATTTATAGATCACGAGTTCGAGCCGTGAAAGCAATAACTAATGCTTGCATTAGGGTAGGTTGTCTACGCCATACCCCTTGGGTGCGATCCTTTCACGGATCCTGGATGAACGCGGGATACCTTGTACACCAGACTGTCTGTTTTTATCATATTATTACTACCATTTTCACTACATTTCATGGAATTGAGATACTAATTCCTTTGAAAATGACTATATTTTAGGGTGATCGGTGGAGCATGAATAGGCAACTAGTGAATCATTTTGTCACAGTTTCAAGAATTATTTCCATACTTGGAAATGTTACTTCAGCTAAAGGCCTCTTAAGCAAATGCCTCTACACTGTTGATATGGGCAACAATGATTACCTCAACAACTATCTACAGCCCCAGTTTTACCCTACGAGCCTTTTGTATACACCAGATCAGTTTGCAACAGTCCTTGTTCAACAATTCTCTCAACAACTAAGGGTTTGTACTATTAATTTCTTCCTTTTTAATTTATTTCCCATTAATCTTATCTGCGGTGTTGAAGGGCCGTATCTTCCGCAGTTGAGGTGGAGGGTTCAAACCCCATCATTAACTAGTTTTCCCGTCCCCCTCCCCTCCCCGCCCCTCCCTACCTTACCCCTACTTGATGTGAACAATATTTTACAAAAAAAAGATAAGGATGGCAAAATGGGGCTAGGCATATGTTCATGTTTGAACACAGGCCAAGTTAGCCCCATCTAAAGCAACACCTCAGGCTTTAGACAAAGTCTCATGTCGGCAAAAAACAAGAGAGATAATTGGTATATAAGTTAACAAACTTTGGACCCTAATGATATGTTTTAAACCTGTGAGGACCTAGACCCAGAGCAGACAATATCACTAGCGGGCTGAGCTGCTATAAAGGCTATCATAGCCACTCTTGTGTTAGCCTAGCCGATGGTGGGTCAGAGTTCAACTAAGTTTAGATAAATTCCAGTTAGGCAGCGAGGACGCTATAAGTTAATAAGCCTTAGATCCTAGTGACGCGTTTTAAACCCATGAGTGCCTAGGCCTAGAGCGAACAATATCATTAGTGGGTTGGATTGTTACAAATAAGTAGCCAAAATTGACATATAAGAAAACTTGTCAAAATGCTTTTTATTTTTATTTTTTGATGGGTTAGATATATCCATAACAAAGAAAAAAAATCATTAGTTGTATTTGGTTATTCAATAAATTTATAAGAAAACAGATAAATAAGTTAAAACTTTGTTCAAGTTGGGGGCATTGAACTACGATCCATTATTTAGTTCATCTTGATCCATCTTATTTCGGCCAAAATAACCTTGGAGCATGTTATTACTGATTCAGCCTATTTTAACCCGTCCAAATTTAGTCTGATCTGCTTATCCGGCACCCTTATTTAAAACATTTTGTTGAATTAATTTGTTATATTTTAGACTTTGTATAGCTATGGAGCAAGGAAGGTGGCTGTGTCAAATATTGGTCTATTAGGTTGCTTGCCAGAAGAGTTGGAGGTGTTTGGAAGAAATGCATCTGGATGTGTTGATTTCATAAATAATTATGTGAAGCTGTTTAATGACAAACTCAAGCTTCTTATTGATGATTTGAACATTAATCTTCCTAATGCAAGGTTTATTTACATAAATCAGACTAGCATTTCATCTGGGGGTCCCTCACCTGTTGGTAAGTTTACATAATTTCATTCTTTCTAACTACAATTTATTGTTAAAAGAATTTTTGGAGTATCAAGATAAATACAATCAGAACATATTAAAATATTTCAAATATGTAAAAAAATTATTTATTCTATCAATATATATACGCTAAATTCTTTTAACATAGATATATACTCCTTTTCTTGCTTATATGACAATATTTCCTTTTAGTCCGTCCAGAATGAACTATAGTTCTCCAAAATAATTTAATTTAAACTCTATTAGTTTCAATTTATATGATGTATTCTAATTTAACGGGGCTTAAAAAGGACTTTTAAAAGTTGTGATCATAACCATGTTATAACTTTATATCAAGTGTATGGTTATAAGGCATTTGAAAGCCTTGTATTTTTAACCATGTCATGACATTTGTGTTTTAAAGGATTTTATTAAAGGTAAAATGAATAGTTTAAAATTAATTATTTTCATATATAAAAATATATCATTCTTTTAGGAATGAACTAGTAAGTAAATAATGTCACATGAAATGAAACAGAAAAAATAGTGATTAATATGACAAAAGTGAAGAAAGTTTAATTAACATAATGAGACAGAGCTAAATGATGCAATAGTCTAGCGGTTCGGTCATTTCCCGGACCCCGCGTATAACGGGAGCTTAGTACATCAGACTGCTCTTTTAGTCTGGCGGAATATAATTATTTTTGATTGACAGGTTAAATGTGTAACTTGCCCAAAAGCTTCACCTTAGCCTCGGCCCTCCTCATTGCCAACCCTACCCTAGGTCTTCCCTACTAGAAAATAAATTCTCTTATACTATAAAGTGAAATAAGTGAACTATACTCCACATGTCCTAATTCTTCCAGAATAAAGGTGTATATTTATCCCTCAACCTTTGATTATGGTATAAAATTACCCTTATGTTGGATCTTTGTTAAGGGACAAGAGAAAAATGTGACATTTTTCTAACAACGAAGGTGATATTAGACCAAAATTTAAAGGAAGACAATCAATTTTGCTTAATTTAGAATCGGCTATATCAATCCTTACTAAACATATTCTTCCAATTAAATTCATCTTAATCCAACATTATACAAAATAAAAATAAAATGCAAGTGAAGTCATTTTCATGTTCATTAAAGCCACGAGCTCGAGCCGTGGAAGCAGCCACTAATCCTTGCATTATGGTAGGTTGTTTACATTACACCCTTTGGGGTGCAGCCCCTTCCCCGAACCCTACATGAACGTGAAATGCTTTGTGCACCCGACTGCCTCTTGTTATGATACATATATATGCTGTCTTTACACAAATAGCCATCCGAATTCATCGTTTAGTTGTTCTAATCGATATACACGTAAATTATATACTGACTATACATGATTATACATATATTATACATCCGCTAATTATTTTTAGTTTAAGCGGTTAGGTAGGTGGCTATTTGGTTAATTCTTCTATTTGGAATTCCAGGATTTACAGTGGACTCATCATGCTGCATAACATCAGACACTATAGCCAAAGGACAATGCCGTAAAGGTGAAGTTCCATGCAACAACAGGAATCAGTATATTTTCTTTGATAATTTTCACCCTACAGAAATTGCAAATATGGCCACAGCTAGAAGATCATTTAATGCTTTTCTACCGTCTGATGCATATCCAACGGATATTAGCCAATTGGTGCAAACTTAATATTAATCTCTGTGTGTTAATTCCTCTACCATTGCATTGTTAGCTTTGAATTCATTGCATTGTTAAAATTATGTATTCATATATGATATTTGTCGACTCATCATGCTTATATATGAAAATTTATATAAAAACCTATCCTAGTTATTCGGTAGAGTTAGAAATTTATATATAAGTCTACAATTTTATTAAAAGAAACTTAAAAATCAGTTCAATACGATTCGATTCGGCAAGTTCAGTCGATTTTTAAAAATCCATTGACACCCCTATGTTTTACACAAATAATTAAAGTAAGATAAATAAAATAAAGAAGCGATACCTGCTTATTATATGATAAAAGAATATCTATCAGAGTAAAGTAAAACGCAAGTTCTATAAAACAACTATAAAACCAACAATATTACAAGTGATAATAGTAGATGGATAACTTACATGTATCATATGTAAACTAAAATTTTAATCTAGAAACTCTCTTATTTACATTTACAATGAAAATAAAAATGGCCAAATTGAAAAAACAAATAATAAATACGTGCTTATATGATTTAAAGCGAACATTAGCCAAGCTTCTAATATAAAATTATTTTTTAAAAACATATAGGAATTACATAGAAAATAAAACATAAGCCTTTTAAACTTCAACATTGTAAAAAGATGGAAGAAAAAGAAGAACAAAGGGTTCAAGTTTAGTATACAAAAAACAACATAAAACTTAGGCAAAGATCATCATACCAATGACAAGAATAGAAGATTTGAAACTAGAAAACAATCCAACAGCCTATTTTACTAAAAAGCAACTGAATTTTGCAGAAATGTGGAGAAGTAGAGAACCTTTATGCACAGTTCAGCAAATGAAAAATTACTTATTTCCATAAAACTTGCTAGATATGGCGCGTTGACCGAGATGAACCATTCCGGCTACTTAAATTTGGAGTATCTTTCTTCCACATTGCCTCTAAATGCTGAAAGCATCTCAATGGCCTAATAACCTGCATATAGCAAATTATTCATATGATGAAAAGAGGCACGTAAGTATCAATGGATTCATATGTTCTGCTAATTTTCTGGATATGGAGTCGCCTTTGTTGGGAAGTGTTTTACCCTCCCCCTCCCTCCGATGTAGGACTTCCTTCCCGGTGCGAATTCGAAATTAGTCGGGTACCAATGCAAGTACCGGGCACGGGTGGGAAACAAAACATAAATTGCAGCACAGGCCTTGGGCATATAACGAAGGTGCCAACATTTAAAGACAAAATTACACGCTACCTTTTTTACTGAAAGATTATATGCCTCCTTTAGTACTCGAAAATGCAAATAACCCAAGAATCAAGGAAAAAGACGAAAAATGAATCTAGCTCAAAACAAGAACTGAGATTTTACTACTACCAGATATGAGGACCAGGCAAGGACCATCTTGGTACAAAACCAGATTGGGGTACTTCTTATTGATCATAATCTAAGCATATAATACTTGGGCTGGAAATTCCACGCGAATCATATCTGCTTCACATGAGCTACTTACCACATGAGAGCCTAGATACTGTTTTCACTAAAAAGTCTATTTCACAAAAGCATGCAGCTCAAGTTAAAAAATTTACCTTCCAATTGTTCTTGCAGTCAAACTTTTTATAAATGGACTCAAGCCGTGGGATAATTTGCTTGAAACTTGGACGCTTGGTTGGCTTCTCATTCCAGCACTCTTCAATCAACCTGGAAAACCAAAATCAAATCCCTAAATATTACCGCATTGGAGAAAGCAACAAATTGATGATCATAAAATGGTAAAATCTCTAAGATCGGAAATGAGGACATTTTCCAAGATCCCAGTTGATTAAGATGCTACTACAATTTATCAAGTAAAACACCACAGTTGATCAGTAATAAACCTACTAATCCATATACTTGGCAGAATCAAGATTGATACCATGCCCTACTTTTATTTAAATAGTTCTCTTTTTGACATGTCAATTTTATCAAGGATACGGGAAATGACATCCGGATCCCAGCTTCTTATGTTTAATTTTACACCTAAACCCTTTTGTTCAGAAACTAAATGGGAATGGGACACTAAGGTTAGTGTTAGCATGATATATTCGATCAGTTGTCTCAACAATTTTAGCTGCTTCTCACTTCAGCTAAAATCATTTTTGCATATCATGACTTTGTTAGATAAACTTGCATAAATTCGCCAAATATAAGGGCACTTCAAAGAAATCATGACGAATGAAAGGCATCGATTCTAATTCTGAATAAAGAATGTGTAGGTAAGATTTATCGTACGTCTTACTCCCAAATTAATTGACTGGTGTTCATCAAGCATATGAAACAACTTGTTCACACCAGAGGATAAATGATTTTCACAGGACAGTTCATTTTTATCTTTCCAATGGTCAACAGATATAACTAATACATATTATCAAATTATTTTACAAGAAGCATTCAAATTAGAATTTTCACAATGACTAATTAGACTATAAAATAACTATCAAAAATATGTATAAATTCATAGCCTAGAATATTCTAATAATTAGGAAATTATTCTGTATCATTATAAGCAAGGTAATATACCTTATTGGAGTAGGCTAACTCCTATACAAGGAGTCCCATTGTACTGAGTTCTACTATCAAGAAAAATAGTTTTCTCCTTTTGTCTCGCCCTTCACATGGTATCAGAGCCAAAAAGAGTTCTATTGTCAAGAAAAGTACCTTTCTTCTCGTTTCATGATAACAAATTCACCGCATAAAAAAAGTTCTATTGTTGGTTCAAATGATCGGTTGGTAGACAGTATCAAGGCATGGTTTTATGAATCATCTATTGATTTTAGTAAATTTCCATAGGAGGACTACTATGGCAAGACCATTGTCTACAACTACACCTTTGACGAGACGACCTTGTCCAAACTTGTCAAGTTGACTGAGATTTTGGGGTTAGCATTGCATTAGTATTTTATGTTTCTATGTAGCTAATTTTTAAATCGTAAGTCTGTTCATTTCTTAGTTTCATTCCTTTTTTGAGTTATAGTTTGCTACTTGTAATCAACATGTTTTCCCAAGTTATCAGATTATAAGAATCGATATTTAACCTAGAACTGCATGGTGTATTACAGTGGTAAAATCGTGATTTATAGTAGCAAATGAGAGGAAAAAATAGAACTTACTCTCTCAGTCCATGGGCATAAGACTTCGTCGGGGCTTTAAAAGGAGGGCGCTCTTTAGCAGCATATAATTTAGGTACATCATTTTCTTCCTTTGCGTGGAAAGGTGGGTAGCCTTCAATCATCTGAAATATAGCACATCACAAAGATCAAACATGTCATCTGTATGTGGAAACAGAACGGCAAAATACTCACATCCTTGACTCACTAAAATTTAGCAAAATAGAGTAACTTCAAAACTTCTACAGATATGCAATGTATAGATCAGTGTTATCAAAGGCGAAAAGCGCAAAAAAATTCTAAGGTTTATTGAGGGTTTAAGCTCAAAGCGCAAATAAAGCGCGGGCTTGAAGAAAGGCGCAAATAAAGCGCGGGCTTGAAGAAAGGCGCAAATGGAGAAAAACTATAAATTTGTATGTGTAGTTCAAGACTAATATCTATAAGCATGAATAGCAAATATATGGACAAAGAAATTGAAGAAATTTTTTATAAAGTGAAATATCAATTGTTTAGTGTTGCCTCTTTAGGATTACTCATGGCAAGGAAAAGTATGTCTTAGAGCCTTCATGACAACACGGAAGCACCCTAGGAAAGAAATTTACCTCTTGTAAAATTAAAGCAAATGAAAAGACATCAACTTTCGTATCATATTCCTCATTCCTGAAAACCTCTGGAGCTACATATCTGCCTATTTGTTGCACACAAAAAAAAAA